AGGATACCAAACACTGATAGATATGCATGTGTATGTTACTTGTTGAATTTCGTTATATAGAGTTGGTTATGCAATCAAAATTGGTGCAGTAAATGACAGAAATAATCATACACTTAACTTCCACAGCCATATCTGCTATGTAATCTCTATTCTTTTTCTTCAGACTGCCAGGGTTGTTCTTAATATAAAATGAGCTATAAAAGTTGGCTCCAAGAAAGTCAATTGAGCCCTTAACCAAATTTGATTCCCTACTTGTGAAGATAGGAAGCCTTGAGCCAACATTCTTTTTCATGGTGCTAGGATATTCTCCAAATATTAAGGGATTCAGAAACCTGTCACAGAAAAAAAAACGAGTCTTGTAATTCATTATTGTATAAGGAAATAGTTGTTCGTACTAAATTTGTAAAATAAACTTGGCGTGGAATTTTTAAGGTAATAGTTTTTTAATTTTTATATATTAAACAAATTAGAACCAATCGTAATTTTAGAAGTAGAGATAAATATCACATACATTTTGTTGCTTACCATCCAATATAGAAGTCTTGAGCTCTTTGAGTGGCAATTATGTCTTCACTAGTATTTGTTAGTGGAATCACACCATAAATAAGGAGATTAAAACCAATAAAACCTTGTTGCTTGACCTGCAAGTACCATAGATTGCATTATTAAACAAAAGATACTTTGATTATCATAGTGAGAAATGATATCAAAACTATCATCTTACAAAATACCAAGAATAATCACGAACTAAATGTGAAAAGCTTTAGCCTATGTTTGGTAACGCGGTGGGCCACCGCTGTTGCACGTTTAAGGTCTTTTTCACCATGATTTTGAGAAGCTGGTATGTGTAGCTTCTGCCCCACCATGATTTTCCACCGTGATTTTTAAGCTTCAATACCAAACACACACAAAGCAAAATGGTGTATCTGTGATATATTGGTTTACCTGATACTTCTTCCTATACAGTCTTGCAGCTGATGCGTGTGCTAACAACATATGATGTGCTGCCAAATATGGCTCAGTTGAAGAATTGCCTTTGGAGCAATTATATATAGAGGGAAGAGAACACCTTTGAGGTGGTAAAATTCCAATACCATAGCCCCATGATGCACCCACATTCCCCTCATTCACTGTGGTCCAATATTTAACTCTATCTCCAAACTCTTTGAAGCATACATCTGCATATGCTGTGAAGTCTTTTCTGCAAGATATCATAAAATGAATATACAAATACTGAAATTATAGAAAGATTGCTTTTCTTATTTTGTGTTAAATATAGTTTGGGAACCATACATAATTCTTCGACTAACCCATCCTCCATATTCATCTTCAAGTGCTTGAGGTAGATCCAAATGATGCAATGTAACATGTGGTTGGATTCCTACAAATGAAGGTGGAAATTAATTGAATCGAGTGTTGCCGGGCAAGAGTTTGAACAAAATCTTAGTTCTGCGATACTCTATTTAGAACAAAGTGTTGTCGATTAGTAGCTATAGCCACTATAACACTAGTGTGTAACATAATTTGAACAAACCCAATATGTTCCACAATCTGCAGTTGAACTTTACAATGTAAATCTAGTTTGTAAAAGAACCTTGGCTTGTTAATTCGTTGATAAGGTTGTTGTAATACTGCAGTCCTTTCGGATTTATAGGCCCTTTCCCATCTGGTATAAAATGAGATCATGGTCAGAAGAATGACAAACAGTTGATTCAAGAAGCTACAAAATTATAGATTCAAACAAAGTACAATCAGCTCTTGACATTATTTAAGAAATTACTTCTCTTACTCCATAATCACATACAACAATCTATCGTACCTGGAATAAGTCTAGACCATGATATGGAAAATCTATAGGCATCTAAGCCCATTTTCGCCATGAGTTTGACATCATCCTGCAAAAATGAAAGCATACGTAAACCAGTCGTTTGATATGTCGAACATGAGAGATCTGCTGTATTCCATGTCTACTGACCTTATATTTGTGATATTGATCGCATGCAATGTCGCCATTTCCCTCGAACTGTCCTGCTGCAAATTTAATTGAAATGAAGAGTTTCAATGTCTATGACTTTATAACATGATTAGTGTAATAGCAAATAAATGAGAAAGAGCACCATTGCCAGCATATGCAAAGATATCCCATATACTTGGTTTCCTGCCATCTTCCTTTGCTGCACCTTCAACCTTTAATAAATCATATCATCTAAAATACAAAATTAGCTTTAGAAGGAAAACATATGCAGAGTAAAAGAGTGAATTGAGTTGAAACCTGATAAGCTGAAGTTCCAGCACCAAACAAGAAGTTAGGCGGAAAGTCGTTTCTGGTGAATGCATTAGCAAAAGAAACTACTGATATCAATATAGCTGCCACTAACAGAGGCATCACAGCAAAGGAAGAATTTATCAACATTAGTTAATTCTCCTTGCTTATTAGCCTTGTGTTTTTAGAACATATATCAAGCATGTGACTAAATACAGAGATGGTAAGGTTCTTTAAAGAAAAAAATATGAACAATAACTGGATGAGAAACTTCAGCCTCTCTCTTTCACCTGTTCATTCCATCAATAATAGTTTTACTTTTGATTGTCTTTCTTTAATCTCAATTTGTTCAAGTTTCACACCTTATGGTCCATTGTCCTGAAGATTTTATAAGAAATAAAAAATAAATAAAAAACTGTGTATAAAGTACAATCATGCATTTATTTCTTCTTTTGAACAAACATTTAATCATTCTTTATTAAAAAATGTATAATAAAAAGAGTTAAAGGGATAAATGATAGGAAAAAAAATGAAAACTTTGAAGAAAGATTAATTCTCTCATCTGAGCCACCAAATTAACCTTAGCAATGTTAATATTGTTACAAAATACAGTTTGTATTATAAAAATATTATTTAAGAATTTAAGTGTTGTTACCAAATTAACAATGTGAACAGGTTGAAGTAGGAGAATCCTTAAATAAATCTCTGTACACAAAGGCTTGATCCTTGGCCATTGATACCTGAGTGCACTAAAAAAATATTTTGCAAAGGTTGTAAAAGACAAATCCAGACTCATAATCTACTACTTCCTTTTCAAGAATACCTATCACCTTCTGTGAGAATCCGCATAGCGGCGCAGTCCTTGATCCCTTGATGAATGTGACTACTATGTTCTTTTTAACAAACTTGTTGACGAGCTCGTCAAGAGAGACGGCTAGTTGGACGTAGCGACCAGGCACTAATAGACAGCGCAGTTCTTAATGCCGAGATGAAAGTGGTGCATGCGATGGTTTTTTGTTATGATGTTTTGGGATCTGTCCATTCTAGAGGCGACAGTCAATGGTGTGATCATTTGTGAAAGAAAAAAAAAACAATCTCTAAGTGATTCAAACTGAGATGGACAATGATAAAGGCTAAACGACGGCTAGAAACGGAAGAAAAAGAGTGTCAAATAATGTCAAATAGTGACCGTAAGGTCATTTGCTATACTTTTCAAATATCTCTTTTTTAATCCGCAATTATAATCTTCATCTAACATATTCACACTCTCATTATTTACTCCTTCCTTTTCAAGAAAATACCTATTACCCTCTCTAAAAATCCGCATAATGACATTTCTTGATCCCTTGATGAATACAGCTACCTTATACTTATTCTCTTTTACAAAGTTGTCAATGAGTTCCTCAAGAGGGATGGTTAGTTAATTGGACGTAGCGATCAAGTATTAATAGAATATGCTATTGTGTGTGTATTTTTTTGTTTTTTTTACCTTTCAGATTAATGCTTTTATAATTCACTATATATGTTGCTAGAATTTGAGCTTCAATCAGTGTGCTAAATGTATACATTAGGTGATATTAGAATTAAACATTTATTGAGAGCCTGCTAGTGCTAAGCCATATAACATTAGAATACCAAAAGTGATGCAGACTTAGCAGTATTAAAGACTGCATACATTTCTATCAGACATATCTTCATAAACAAGTTTTATCAGGAATATAATAGACCATCATATGTTTATATACATATTTCATGCAACTTTCTCTCACATGGTCACATATAAAGAACCAAAATATTACAAAGGAAAAAAGAGAGAGGAGGCTAGAGATAAAAACATGTATTTGAAACATACTTAATTAATTTAGGTGGCAATATGAATTAAGGGAGTGTTGCCGAGTACATATGAATTCTCCTCAGTTTTCATGGCGATCTTTGCGTCCATAGATCTATTGTTTAGAAAATTTGAGTACCACGCCGCAGAAAGTTTAGGTTGTCTCCTCAAGGTTGGATCTTCGAAATGCACATAATATAGACCAAAACTTCCTTCAAATCCATTCAGTAATTCAAATACGTCTAAAAAGGCCCATACAAAATAACCTCTAATATTCAGTCCACTCCTATCAATGTGAACATAGAAACCACTCCATTAGAATTCAAGAAAAAATAATCAATAAAGACATAGTAGAAAGTGAAAATAGAGGTACCTCAACATATCAAGCACGCCACCGATGTATTCATGCATATACTTCACTCTTGACCAGTCATCTAATGATGAATTCCTACGTGTTTGTTGACCTGAGAAGTTCAAATATTATTCATCATAAACCATCAAGATTGTGATGTTATTGATATAAGTACAAGTAGAAACAGAGTTAGGCTGTACCAGATTATTTAAAGGCTAAACCTAATTTGTATCCAAAACTTAAATGTCAAGAAATAATGAAGAATCACAACTTCAAGATTAACAAAGAAAAGAAATGACAATCTTGCCTCCGCTATCATGACTTTTATATCTGATTAGCAAAAAAAACTTACTTGCCGCTAGTGGAAAATATGAAAGTGTGTCGTTAAATCGTACAACCCTGGTATGAAAAATTTGAACAAAACACTATTCCTCTAATTGACTATGTTAAAATCAAAGATCAGGAGGGACAATGTGTCTATTGGTATTGTTTAATTAGAAAGGAAGGCATACCATTTTCATGTATGTAAATGGGAAAATTTCCAAAATCGTTCTTCAATGAATGAAGCATCCCTTGCAAAATCCAGGGTGTAACTGGAAACTAAACAAGCAAATCAAATAGTAAGTGGAATAGATTGAAGATTTAATACTCAAAAAATTGAAGTAACAACAATGATCATATTCTAGTTTTACCTCTTCTGTAAATGAACCATTTCCAGAGTAGGCTACAATCATGTAAAAAAACATCAATAAATTAGAGATCCTCAAAGTTGAAGAAAACACAATTTCAGTAAATCTCGTGTTGTGGCATATGAAGTGGTGAAAAAACATGTTCATTAGAGAAAAATATCTCAATCAATAAATTTATGGACGTCATTTCATATAATAAACAGAAATGCATGTGTATGTTACTTGTTTAATTTTAACAGAGTTGGTAATGCAATCAAAATTGGTGTGGTAAATGACAGAAATAATCATACGCTTAAACTCCACGGCCATATCTGCTATGTAGTCTCTATTCTTTTTCTGCAGGCTGCCAGGGTTGTTCTTAATATAAAATGAGGTGTAAAAATTGACTCCGAGAAAGTCTATTGAGCCCTTAACCAGATTTGATTCCCTACTTGTGAAGAATGGGAGTCTTGAGCCAACATTCTTTCTCAAGGTGCTAGGATATTCTCCAAATATTAAGGGATTCAGAAACCTGACACAAAAATGTAGAGAAAAATTAAGAGTCTTGTAATTCATTATAGTACTAAGAAATAATTGTTCGTAATAAATCGGTAAAATAAATTTAGCATGTTTATGGCAGAGTTTTTTAATTTTTATATACTAAACAAATTAGAACCAATCATATGTGTGATTATAGAAGTAGAGATAGATATCACATTCATTTTGTTGCTTACCACCCAATATTGAAGTCTTGAGCTCTCTTGGTCGCAACTATGTCTTCACTGGTATTTGTTAGTGGAATAACACCATAAATAAGGAGATTAAACCCAATAAAACCTTGTTGCTTGACCTGCAAGTACCACAGGTTGTATTATTAAACAAAAGATACTGTTATTATATAGTGAAAAATGATATCATAACTATCATCTTACATAATATCAAGAATAATCATGATCGAAATGTGAAAAGCTTTAGCCTATGTTTGGTAATGCAGACTTTTTCATTGTAATTTTGAGAAGCTGGTATGTGTAGCTTCTGTCCCACTATGATTTTCCACCGTAATTTTTAAGTTTCCCAAACACACACTTAGATGATTGACAACGCAAAATGGTGTATGTTTCATATATTGGTTTACCTGATACTTCTTCCTATACAGTCTCGCAGTTGATGCATGTGCTAACAACATATGATGCGCTACTAAATATGGTTCAGTTGAAGAATTTCCATTGGAGCAATTATATAGACAGAGAAGAGTACACCTTTGAAGTGGTGAAAACCCAAAACCATAGCCCCCTGATGCACCCTCATTCCCCTCATTCACCGTGGTCCAATATTTAACTCTATCTCCAAACTCTTTGAAGCATACATCTGCATATGCTGTGAAGTCTTTTCTGCAAGATAACATAAAATAAATATACAAATATTAATTATATAAAGATTGTTTTTCTTAGTTTTGGGTTGAATATAGTTTGGGAACCATACACAATTCTTCGACTAACCCATCCTTCATATTCATCTTCAAGTGCTTGTGGTAGATCCCAATGATGCAATGTAACATGTGGTTGGATTCCTACAAGTGAAGGTGGAAACTAATTGAATTTAGTGTTGTCAAATAGTAGTTATAGCAGCTATCGGAACAGAATTTGAACAAACTCTTAGTTCTGCGATACTCTGTTTTGAACAAAGTGTTGTTGATTTGTAGCTATAGCAGCACTACAATGTAACATAATTTGAACAAACCGATATTTTCCGCAATATGCAATTGAACTTCAAAATGTAAATCTAGTTTGCGAAAGAACCTTGGCTTGTCAATTCGTTGATAAGGTTGTTGTAATACTGCAGTCCCTTCGGATTTACAGGCCCTTTCCCATCTGGTATAAAATGAGATCAAGGTCAAGCTATAAAATTACAGATTCAAACAAAGTACAATGAGCTCCTGACATTATTTTAGAAATTAGTCTTGATTATGATGCAACAATCTATCATACCTGGAATAAGTCTTGACCATGATATGGAAAATCTATAGGCATCTAAGCCCATTTTTGCCATGAGTTTGACATCATCCTGCAAGAAATGAAAGCATAGGTAAACCAGTTGTTTGATATGTCAAACATGAGAGATCTGTTGTATTCCATGTCTACTGACCTTATATTTGTGATATTGGTCGCATGCAATGTCACCATTTCCCTCGAATTGTCCTGCTGCAAATTTAATTGAAATGAAGAGTTTCAATGTCTATGACTTTATAACATGATTAAGTGTAAAAGCAAATAAATGAGAAAGATCACCATTGCCGGCATGTGCAAAGGTATCCCATATGCTTGGTTTCCTGCCATCTTCATTTGCAGCACCTTCAACCTTTCACATCATCAAAAAGACAAAAACTAATCCAAAATCAGCTTTAAAATGAAAATATATGTAATTCAGTTGAAACCTGATAAGCTGAAGTTCCAGCACCAAACAAGAAGTTAGGAGGGAAGTCATTTCTAGTGAATGCATTAGCAAAAGAAACTATTGATATCAATACAGCTGCAACTAACAGATGCATCACAGCAAAGGAAGAACTTATCAACATTAGTTAATTCTTCTTGCTTATTAGCTTGTGTTTTTAAAACTTATATCAAGCATGTGACTGAACACTTGGTAGGTATAAGCTTTTAAGAAAAAATCTGCACAATATGTGGACCAGAAACTTCAGCCTCTCTTTTCCACCCTCATGGTGTAGATTTTATAAGCAATAAATATTATGTATAGGTACAATTATGCATTTCATTTCTTCTTTTGAATAAATATTTTATTATTTATTAATAAAAACGAGATAAAGGTATAAATGAAGGGGAAAAAATGAGAATTTCTTTGAAGTTATAAAACAACAAAAAAAAAAATTAGGACAAATTGATTTTGCTAAAATGAGAAAAAGGTGGTAGAACAAAAAAGATTAATTCTCTCATCTGAGTCACCAAATTAGCCTTGGCAATGTTGATATTGTTACAAAACACTATTTAGTTTGTATTAAAAAATATTATTTAAGAATTTAAGTGTTAAAAACAAAAAAACTTGGATTCAAGGCATATTATTCGAAGTGATTCGAGTCAAATAAATATAATTGAGTTGTTGAAAATAGAAAAATATTTTGCAAAGGCTGTAAAAGACAAATATACAGCACATATGGAAGAAAAATAGCATTTTCTACTACGGTTGAAATAAAATATACATATAGTTATTTATTTTCTTTCTACCCTTCTATTTGAAAGATTAATACAACAAGACATGACCAAAAAGGCATTCTACTCCTAGCTAGCTAGTTCCTCATTTCAAAAGAATGCCTCAAAAGACAGGTTCACTTGCACAATTAATTAGTTTTTGAACAAACCAGCCACTTCACCTTTTTCATGCATGGATGTCAATATATCACAACCACCAACAAGTTCACCATTCAAAAATATCTGAGGGAATGTAGGCCAGTTACTATACTTTTTAACTGTCTCCCTCAATCCATAGTTATAATCTTCATCCAACACATCCACACTCTCATAATCTACTCCTTCCTTTTCCAGAATACCTATCACCTTTTGTGAGAATCCGCATAAGGGCGCAGTTCTTGATCCCTTGATGAATGCAACTACTTTGTTTTCTTTAACTAACTTGTCTACGAGCTCGTCAAGAGAGACGGTTAATTGCACATGACGACCAGGTGTTAATCGAAGATCAGGCTTCTTCTTAGGTTGTTGTCTTATCCAAGTGGCATTTCCGGATTCATTACCAGGTGGAACTTTGCCTGTGGTTTTTATGTGATCTTCCATCCATGACTTCCACGCTTGGGTTAGAGCTTCTCTGTCAGGTTCTTCCACTACCCCGACCTACAGAAAACAATTTCACAATAAAAGTTCATCATAAGGAGAGTACTAGTAGTATCACTGAAGATTTGGAGAATGGTGATCTTAAACTTAATTAAAACAGTGCAAAAGTTTTATACTGTTTTTTGCAGATTACAGTTGTACTTAAATCTACTTGATGTTTTAAATAACTTTAAAAGACAGAAATAAGATGTGGATTATGACGCATGGGTTATACTAGGAGCATGCTTGGTTTCACATTTGAAAACCCTCAAATCATAGTCTAGACTCTAGATAAAAGTTTGTCTTGAGTAGCGTTTGCGCAAACCGTGTTTTGGGAACTCCAAACACAGAATCAGACCCATTAAATCTTCGATAAATTGAAGTCTGAAAAAAACAGAGTATGATACTATATGCTAACTAAAAGAGAAAATCTCCTCAAGCAAAAAGAGTTGCTGATGGTTACAGCAGCACGATAGTAACAAAACAAGAGGGATGAAACTACTACAAGATCGGCATACTCCTACTCTCCAGATTGACAAGATACCCAATGCTTTATGGCATCCCCTCCCCCTACCTATAAGAAAATTCTCTAACAGCTAGCAGGCTCAACTCTCTTATGATGATTTTCTCAAACCCCACACCTCTTCCTCACATAAACCCTCTACATGGTTGGTTGTTTTTTAGGGTTCTTCTATGGCCTTTTATTCTCTAGAACCAGCATATCAAAAAAGATTGTGTTCGTGAAGAAGATACTTAATACAACGATGGAAATTGTACTATGCATCTCTCTTTAAATATCACAAAGCTCTATAATAAAATTATAATATAAAAAAAGTATACAATGAAGAGAATGAAAAGGAAAGAAGGAATACTAGTGGTGCTTCACAAGAACTAAGACGGAAGAAACATGGCAATAAATTCAAGGGAAAACTTATCCATCCCATATGACTTATGAGCGAAACAATAAGAAAGCAGGCAACTTAGAAGCATAATTATAAGGAATGACAAAATACTCTATTAACACTCTTTCAACACTTCATATCTTGGGTTCACACGTCACTACCATGTGCCCACTAATTGTGTTGAACAGGGTCTCATAAGGCATTGTCTTTTAGCCCTATTTACTTAAGAAACAAACATAAAAATAAAGTGACGAAATACAATTCTCCTTATGTTTTTCGACTCTATTATGTTACTGAAACCAGTGTGCTTGGTGGTGAATGGCGGACCATGGAGGAAAGCCAAAAAATTTCCCTATGGTGCCGCCATCCTTCACAAAATTGGCCAAAACAGTTGTCAAAAAACCCACCACCACAATCCACCATGGCGCCACCGGGGCCGATACAACATCGGCTAAAACCACCCGCCTATTCTTTTGTTTGCTTATGGAATACTATAAAAGAAACGAGTGATTAATAAGTATCTTTTTCATTAGTATAAGGGTAAATAGCCTTGAGGATAGGGCTTCGACAATACCCTTGTCGAGAAGTAAAGTCAAAAATCAATTCTATTGCAGCATGTTGCTATCCCTTACTACTAAAAAGGGCCTTAAATAATCTTTCTTAGCCTAGTAACACTAGAAAGCATAATGTGTCTAACAAAAATGAACTTAAACCCCTGCCCATTTTCTTATAATACGGAGAAACCCTGATTTTTCAGACGCACATCCTATGCAAGTTTTCTCTCTTCAACCTTGAGAGTGTATATATAATATATCACCTCAATTCTATCGCAAATCTTCAAACAATCAAGTGGCTCAATTACTCTTTGAAGTCATTGAAAGTAAATAAGACATCACTGAGTTACATTACTTCCACAAACTGTTTCGAAGTTTTAATATTTTATTCTCATTCAAAAAATAAGATTTTTCCTTAATAAAAAAAGAAATAACTGAAAAATCATCAACAACATTCATAACATTGCATATAACACTACGAGAATCAAAACACGGAACAATCTCTTCATCACACACTTCAATTCAATTCAGAATCCAAACTCCTTCACTGAGATTCTCACCTTAACGGAACCACAAAGCTCTGGAACCGATTTCCGGTGCGCCAAAACAGTTGCAGCAATATTACGCGACAAACCGATGAACTGAAGCTCGCCATCCTTACCATAAACAGCGTAAACTCCGGCTTCCGGAGGCAATTCTCCGGTGGGTCCGTCGTCAGACACCGTCACCAAATCCGTGTCGGCGAGGTTTTTCACGGCCATGGCCACCAGGCATGTGTGAGGCTTTCGTGCATGGTGGTAGGGTTTGAGGGAAATTGGGCGTGGGATTGAAGAAGAGTAGGGGGGTGAATTGAATGAAAGAGTAGGGGTATTTTGGGGATAAAAAGAGGGTGAACGGTGGAAAGAGAGAAGTTGGGGAGAAGAAAGGTTGATGACGGTAGACATTGATGAATGGTGGATAGAGTGAGTGAGGAAGTGAAAAGGGGTGGAAGAATTTTGTAGTTATAGGAGTTTAATTGAGTATAGGGTAAAATCATGGTAATGAATGAACATTGGCTCGAGGAATACGAGAAGGTTGTTTAGTGGGCCCTCAAAGACAATGTGCGTTGTTATTTAGGTTTAAAATCTCATTCTGCCTAATGTTAAACAATGGAATGAAGTGATAGAGGATAAGATGATATGGAAGGAGGAGTAGAATGAGATATATAGTGTGAGATCCGGGTATAAATTTTGGAGGAGCTCTCAATCGAATAATGTGAATGAGAGAGGGGAGAAGGATTGCCCTAGGTTGTGAAATATTATAGCGCCACCACATGTGAAACATTTTTATGGAGAATTTGCAGAGGTTGCTTACCGACTCGATCTATAATTCGACAACATCGTGTTTAGTGCTCGTTGGAGTGCCAGCTATGTGGTAGTAATAATGAAGATGATTGGCATGTGGTGTTTGGGTGTATTGCTACTAATTCATGTTGGAGGGCAACCGATTTGTTCAACTATTATAAATCCTCGTTTGAATTTATTGTGAAAATGATGCCAAGAACAGAGTATAACAGATTTCTTTGAGGCAAGAAACCCATAAGGTATGAATCAGGAAAACAAGAAGAACACAAGGAATTGATTATTAACTGTTATTCTTTACTTTCTCTTCAAACAAGATTACAAGTACACAAGAATAACAAATAACCATCTCCCCTAAATTAAGATTTGTTGTGTACGATGATGAGAGACAAATATGCTATTTATAATAAACCTAACATACTAAACTAATGAGTTTTTTCATAAATCTTCATTACAAGCTAACTTAGGGTTCAAGTTAACTTAAGCAATTAGATATAACAAACATGCCCAATTCGAAATACTAGCAACCCTAGTATTTCGACACCCACATACTAGAACACATTTCAACTACAATATGTTGGTCTTCGACACCAGCATGTTAACATACTTCGACGACATGCATAAATCCTGTTGAACCAGAAGCTACTCTTGACCCAATGGAGTTTGATCCAATATCTCACAAATCTCCATCTTGGAACAAACTCTAATATCAAAGAACAAACTAGCTTTCTTCATGTAGTTTTATCAACTACATACAGTGGAAAAACTTACAACTGGGCAATGTCTTGGTGATCAAATCAACAACATTGTGATCTGTCAAAATCTTCAATAGTTGAACTTCTCCGTGCTCGATTACCCCTCTGACGAAATGCAACCTAACATCAATGTGCTTGGTTTGCTCATGATAGGCTGAGTTCTTCGACATGTGTATTGTACTTTGACTATCACATTTAACAGTGATAACTTGACCTTGAAGTTTTAACTCCTTAGCAAAACCTTCCAGCCACAATGCTTTCTTCACAGCTTCAGTTAAGGCAATATATTCCACTTTACTGGTTGATAATACGACAACCTTCTGAAGTGTTGCTTTCCAACTAATTGTTGTACCAAACATAGTGAAAACATATCCAGAGATAGATTTTCTAGAATCCATACAAACTGCATAATCAGAGTCGACATATTCTTCGATTACTGCTTTACTATCTTCACCCAAGTCTCCACCATAAATTAGGACTCTGTTCAAAGACCCGTTTTTGTACCTTAGAAACCACTTTAATACTTGCTAGTGAGCCTTTCTAGGATTCACCATGTACCTACTTACAAGACTTACTGCATATGATATGTCGGGTCTAGTACATACCATAACATACATCAAAGAATCTATTATATTAGCATATGAGATGCTATTCATATAAGCTCTTTCGACATCAGTAATGGGACATTAATCGATACTCAGCTTGAATTGAGGATTTGTCGGGATCACAACAGGACTTGAATTCGACATATCAAACTTGTCAAGAATCTTTCGTAGGTATGCCTCTTGAGATAAACATAATTTTGACTGCTTTCTATCTCTTCAGATATCAATCCCAAGAATCTTGGATGCAGCTTCCAAATCCTTCATTTCAAACTCTTTACTGAGTTCAGCCTTCACCTTTATTACATCCTCAATATTGTTGCTTTCTATGAGAATATCATCCACAAAAAGCAACAAAATAATAAATAAGTTACCAGGTCGAAATCTAAAGTAAACACAATGGTCGAACTGACTTCTAATGAAACTTATGTGTGCCGTGAAATTATCGAATATCCTATTCCATTGTCGAGGAGATTGTTTCAGTCCATTGATAAGTGCAAATTGTAGTTATTTTTGTATAACTTTTTGTTGCACTTATCAACTTTTTGTTGTTAATATCGTTGAATAATTCCCCGCTTTTTGTATAATTATGTATAAATTGTATTTAATCAATTTTTTGTGTATTTATGTACCATTTGATAATTTTCCATTCATTTTTTAGATATTGATGCGTATTTGGAGCATGAGCAATAAAGTGTCGAAGACACAACTTCAAACGCGCGATTTTGAGCAACTCGTCAATGAATAAGGATCAAAATTAAAGAATAAGAAATCATAAAATTGATTGATATTTAGGAATTGTTAGATAGATAATTTAATAAGCATTCCAACACTTTGAATCGGGCGTAAATCAGAGTTACGGTTCTCAAGTTATGGCAAAAACATAATGCTGATTTTTTCTCATGACAGTAAAGCGCGCTTAGAGGGATTTTGCCGCTTAGTGCGGTCCCCTGGACAGAATTACGTTAAAAGGGGCAAAAAATATATGTTTAGGTTATGTTTTGGGGTATTTGTTCTCAATTCATCAAACCTTCATTTTTTGATAGATTAGCTTAGAAAAAAACATTAGGGTCTTGCTTAAGGATAATTGGAGGTGGATGTCTCTTCGATCGGCGCTGACAAACTAAAAGATTTGTGGTTAATCTCTTCTCCCCTATTTGTATTTCTCTTTTGTTGGGTATTTTTGTATATTTACTTTGAACATATGTATATTTGTTGATCATGGTGTTGTATAAAGCTTGCTTTACAAATCAATCCTGATGTCTTCTTTGATCTTTTTGCTTTATGTTTGGATTTAGGTTATTATAGATATATACCTCACAAATCTTGATTAGAGATGGATATCTATTAATTTATAGATTCTAAAGATAGATTTAAAGCTAATATTCACTTTGGGTGCTAAAGCTTAATGCCTATGTGTTGTTGTAGCGCGCAAGATATTATCGATAGAGTAATACAATTGGTCTCGCGACTTGGCGTTAGACATAACCTTCGTTGTGGGTACATCTTATGGTGTCTGTGATGATTTTGACGAGTACAGTAGGTTGAGTGCAACTGATCGATAGATTTAAGTTTGTGACGAGTAGTGTACATTCATACTGGATAAGTTGTCTATCCTTTATAGTTTTTGTTTACATTTATTTTTTGTTGATACCTTTTCCATACAATCCATTCAACCCCCAAACTCATTAACGATAGATTTGTCGAACGACATTTCAATACACCAATCTATATGGACACGATACGATATAACCTAAATATCACCTGGTAAATTAATAACTTACTTTTTACTTGCCACTATACCTCTGCAACATCCATTTAAAGATCTCTTCAACTTGCACACATAGTCTTCTTTCCTCTTTTCGACATACCCTTCACGTTGCCTCATTAGGATTGTTTCATCTAGATCACCATACAAGAAAGCAATTTTGACATCCATCTGCTACAGTTCAAGGTCGAACTTTGCTACCATGGCAAGTAAAATTTGAATGGACATGTGCTTCACAACAGGAGAGAACACATCATTGAAGTCAACACTTTCTTTCTGAGTGAAACCCCTTGCGACCAACCTTGCATTGTATCTTTTCGACGCCAGTCCTTTGATTCTTTCCTTAACTTTGAAAATCCACTTACAGCTGACTAACTTGGCTCCAACGTGTTTCTTGATCAGTTCCCAAGTATTATTATCATGAAGAGATTTCATCTTATCATCCATGGCCTTCATCCATTCAGTCTTATTTCGACTCCTCATAACTTCCTTATGGTCTCTGGGTTCTTCGTCTATAACCTCACTTGCAGAGATTAAGGCATAAGCTATAAGATCTGCATACCCAAGTCTTTGAGGTGGCTTGATGACTCTTCTCATCCTATCTCTTGTTAATAGGTAGTCATCGATATTTTCCTCAACTTTCTCAACATCTTCTGCTTCTTCTTCGACTTCATTTGAGATACGTAATTCAGCATCAACATGTTCCACCTCAACAAGAATTTCTCCCTGTTCCAGCTCTTCATTAGATATCTATGCACTTCGACCAACATCATAAGTTATCTTGAAAGCCATTTCAGCTTTATTAAAAACTACATCTTGATTGGTGATACACCTCTTATGACCTGACTCTAGGCATCATAGCCTGTAAGCGTTAACTCTTTCAGGGTATCCCATGAACATGCATTTTAGAGCTCTAGATTCGACCTTGTCTTGCCTAATGTGAGCATAGGCTACAAAGCCAAATACTCTCAACTTATCAAGATCGTGTGGATGTCCCGACCAAACTTCTTCAGGTGTCTTCATATCTAACGCAATCGAAGGACATTTGTTTATTAGCTATGTTATTGTCGAAACAACTTCAGCCCAAAGCACCTTCTTTAACCCAACAATACTCAACACGCATCTAACTCTCTTCAAAATAGTTTGATTAAACCTTTTAGCCAAACCATTTTGATGTGGAGTATCTGCAGTAGTTTTGTGCCTTGCAATACCAGAGGCAGCACAAAAGTTATCAAAAGCCTCATTGCAAAATTCAAGGCCATTGTCGGTTCTCAGCCTCTTAACCTTTCTGCCAGTTTGATTTTCATCCAGAGTCTTCCAACTTTTGAAATTCTCAAAAGTTTCATCCTTAGTCTTCTGGATGAATACCCATAACTTTATAGAATAATCATCTACTATGGATAGAAAATACCTTGCTCCAGAATATGATGGACACCTTGCAGGCCCCTAAGATCAGCATGGATGTAATCAAGGGATCCA